TTAATAATAAGATTAAAAATATAAGTTTTAGATCAGAACTATAACAGCAGTCATATAAAAATTAGCAAATACATTACTCGATTCGTAATTATCTCTACTAACGGATTTATCTTTGTTCCTTGTCCTAATAACATTATTATTATTATTATCGTTATTAATAACTGTTGTATTACCTTGAAAGATTAAATGAATGAAGCATTACAAAAATTTTAGTAAAAAGTCATAAATAACGCATTAAAAACATTAGAAATTTTACTGGTAATGATATCGGGAGCATCACTAGGTTCTTCAGTAGGAACATTACCGGTAAGGATTCTACCAGGATGCGTATCAGCACCTTTATTATGACAGGTATCGGGGGCACGACCAGTACTTGTGGCAGAGGCACAACTAGGGCTTGTGGTGGGGGCACGACCAGTACTTGTGGTGGAGGCACAACTAGGACTTGTAGCAACGGCACGAGCAGGACTTGTAGCAGAGGCACGAGCAGGACTTGTAGCGGAGGCACGAGCAGGACTTGTAGCAGGGGAACTACACAGACTTGCATCGGGGGGACCAGCAGTGGTAGCACCACCAGCACCAGTAAAGCTACCAGAAAAACTACAAGACATGATGAGGGAGGTTGTACCAGAGATCGAAGGTGAAATACACCAACTAGGAGCTCTAGTCGGTGGTGTGAAATTATTTGCGACTTTATCACTTTTCCACCGATTCCTTTTCAACTTATTTTGATTTTGTTCTATAGCAGTTTTTTCGCACAGCAACAAAATCTGTTCCAACTAAAAGTATATTAAAATATATTAGTACCAATATCTATATTTATATGATTATCTATTGTAATAATTACAGTTTCCGATCGCTATTCTTTTTCACAACCTTTACAACATGGCTATGTCTTTCCGGTTCAATTTCAGAACAAATGTTTTGCCTTTCTTCTTCTTCAGCCAGTCAGTATCCGTTTTGGATACCTCATCACTGTGGTATTCGTTTTTTCTCATTATTTTTTTTAAGTCATTTAGAGCCTGGTGCTCTGGTACATCAAAAGGGAGGAGATTCATGAGATGCACACTATTTGTTTTTTGTAAATAGGTAAACCCCTTTTTTCGATGGTTAATTTTCTGAGAAGCATAATTAAAATTTTACTGATAGTCATATAAGCAAATTGTTGATGCAAAAAAAAAAAAAA